AGTTTTAACAATGATCTTTTTTTCTAAGTGTTATAGAGAATATAACAATATGCAGAAAGTGATAGATCTCAGAAGTTAACCAGTTTGAACTGTTTCACAACTTTTAGATTTCCTTAACGCCAACAAAAACAGATGTGAGTATATATTTATAATATCTGGATAATACTACACACGCTGTTCCATGGAGAGTGTGGAATATTTCACGGACAGCTTCCCATTTACATATGTAAAGATGTAATTTATCCTTATTAGTAAACAGCACTCCATCATGTGGGGAGAGTATAATTGATCTAACCAGTAAAATGTAGTAGTGAAGGGCCAAAGTTTTAGTTTGCATCTCAGTTCTGCGACTTCATTAACTATGAGTCTTGGATGAATTGATTGACTCATCACGGCTGCCGTTTCCTGAGAATGACAAAGGCATCTACGTGCTAGCATGTACTTACTCTTTCAGTCCTCATTGGACCATGTGTTTTTTGTTGTTGTTCATTTGTTTGTTTATTATTAGACTTTAAGTTCTGGGGTACACGTGCAGAATGTGCAGGTTTGTTACATAGGTATACACGTGCCATGCTGGTTTGCTGCACCCATCAACTTCGTCATCTACATTAGGTATTTCTCCTAATGCTATTCCTCCCCTATCCCTCCACCCCCTAACAGGCCCCAGTGTGTGATGTTCCCCTCCCTGTGTGCACATGTTCTCATTGTTCAACTCCCACTTATAAGTGAGAACATGCCGTGTTTGGTTTTCTATTCTTGTGTTAGTTTGCTGAGAATGATGGTTTCCAGCTTCATCCATGTCCCTGCAATCCAGACTAAATGCACCCTGCTTTACGTTCCTATAATAAGTGCTGTGAATGAACGTAGATCAAGGAGGAGGGAAAAGGGCACCAGGAGGAGGTTGCAGTTTTAAATGGAGTGGTCAGGGTAGACTCTACTAAGATAACATTTGCGCAAAAACCTGAAAGTCAGGAAATAAGACTAGCAGATACTTGGAGGAAGAGAATTCCAGGTAGAAGCAACAGCCTTGAGGCAAGAACATGCCTTGTCTGTTGAAAGAATAGCACAGTAGAATAAGGGCAGAGGAGAATGTGGGGGATCTGGTTAGATGTGGGGGATCTGGTTAGATAATGCAGGGCCTTGCAGGTAAAATGGGAGCCATGGTAGAAGTCATGTAGGTTACAGCTATGGGCTAAGGAGTAAGTAAGGGGTTATAATCTACATGGAGGTTATAGGCATGGGCAAAGGAGTAAGTAGTACAATATAATCTACATATTTCAAAGAATTACTCTGATTGCTAGTTTAAGAATAAACGTAAGGTGGTAAAAACAGAAGCAGGACTGTGAGGCTACTCCAGTCATGCAGGAGAGTGCTGATGGCTGCATGACCCAGCAGTTCTGTTCCCAGGTAATATGTACCTGGAGAAGTGAAAACGAATCAGACATATATCTATGCAAAATACACATGTACATGAATGTTCACAGCAGAGTTATCTATAATAGCCTAAAATTAGATACAACGCAAATTCCACCAACTAATCAATTAGTAAACAAGTTGTTGGCTGGATGCGGTGGCTCATGCCTGTAATCCCATCACTTTGGAAGGCCAATGTGAGAATTTCACTTGACCCCAGGAGTTTGACACCAGACTGGGTAACCTAGTGAGATCTCACCTCTAGAATAAAAATAAAATAAAACTTAACAAACAAGTTGTGGTACATTTATACAATGGAATATTATTTAGCCACAAAAAGAATGACATACTGATACATGCTACAACATGAATAAATCTCAAGAATATTAGGATAAGTGAGAGAAGCCAGACCCAAAACGTCACATATTGTATGATTCTGTTTATGTGAAGTGTCCACAAAAGGCAAATCCATAGACACAAAAAGCAGATTAATGGTTGCCAGGTGGTTTAGGAGGAGAAAATGGAAATGGCTACTAACGGGTATGGGATTCTTTTTGGGGCAATCAAAATGTTCTGAAATTAAAAAGCGGCAATGATTATACAACCTTGCGAATATACTGAAAAGGACTGAATTGTACCCTTTATAATCATGAATTTTATGGTATGTGAATTAGATTTCAATTTATAAAAGAAATAAAGAGAGGAGAGGAGGGGTTTGGAACCAGAAAATATAATTATTTTGAAAAATACTTGCTACAAGATGGTGCAAAGAATGGGACAGTACTGGAAGGAGCGTGAGCCTGTAGATTTATTTTACGTTTTGTTGCTATCCTGTGGCATTTCCGTAGTAATTTCAGGACTAGTTTGTCAATTCCTGCAAAAAATCCAGCTGGACTTTGGTAAGAATTGCATTGAGTTGGTAGAATAATTTGGGAAATATTGCCATCTTAGCAATATGAAATCTTCTCATTCTTAAGTATGGTATGTTTTTCCATTTATTTCAGTCTGCTCTAACGTATTTCAACAATATTTTGCATTTTTTGGTGTACTCATCTTGCACTTCTCTTATTAATTTATTATTAAGCACTTTTTCTTTTTAATCCTGTTGTAATAAAATTGTTTCTTACTTTATTTTTTGATTGCTCATTGCTAGCATATAAAACTATTAGTATTTTCTGCATATTGATCTTTCATTTTGCAATGATGCTGAACTTGCTTGTTAGTTCTAATAGTTTCTTGTGAATTCCTTTGAATTTTCTGTGTGTGAGATGAAGTCATTTTAAATAGAAATAGTTTTAACTTTCCTTTTAAATCTGGGCAACTTCTGTTTTGTTTTTTTTTTTTACTTAATTGTTCTGGCAGAAACCACAGTACAATGTGGAATGCAAATGTTGCAAGCAGACACCGTTGTCTTGTTACTAAATTTAGGGGGAAAACTTTCTACTATTCAAGATTACATATGATGTTAGTTGCCTATTTTTTATAAATGTCCTTTATCAGGTTGAGGAAATTCTCCTCAGTTCCTGCATTTTCTTCATGAAAAAGTGTTGGATTTTGTCAAATACTACTTGGCTCTATTGAAGTGATCATCTATTTCAACCCCCTCTTTATATCTGTTAATACCTTTTATTATGTTAATTGATTTTTCTATATTGAACCATCCTGTGTTCTTGGGATAAATCCCACTTGGTTGTGTCGTATAATGTTTGATGTGATGGTGGATGTACTTTGGCAGTATTTTGTTGAGGATTTTTGAATGTATAGTCATAAGGGATATTGACCTGTGGTTTACTTTTGATACCTTTGTGTGATTTGGTGTCAGTGTAATTTTAGCTTATAGAATGAGTTGCAAATATCCACTTTTATTTTGTGAAGGATTGGTCTTAGTTTTTAATTAGACATTTGGTTTAGTACCACAGTGAAGCCATTCTGTTTTTACTTCGTTGGAGTGTTTTGATTACTAATTAATTCTCTTAATTGTTATAAGGTTATCTACATTTTTTATTTCTTCTTGAGTCAGTTTTTATAGTTTGTGTCTTTCTAGAAATTTTTCTATTTATTTATTTTATCTTTTTATTTTTTTGAGATACAGTCTTGCTCTGTGGCCCAGGCTGGAGTGCAGTGCCTCAATCTTGGCTCACCGCAATGTCTGCCTCCCAGGTTCAAGTGATTCTCCTGCCTCAGCTTCCTGAGTAGCTAGGATTACAGGTGTGTGCCAGCACCCCTGGCTAATTTTTGTATCTTTAGTAGAGACAGGGTTTTGCCTTATTGGCCAGGCTGGTCTCAAACACCTGATCTCAGGTTATCCACCTTCCTTGGCCTCCCAAAGTGCTTGGATTACAGGTGTGAGCCATTGTACCCAGCCTAGAAAGTTTTCTACTAACTAGTTAGCTAATTTTTATCGTACCATTGTTTTTAGTACCCCTTCATAATATTATTTATTTTGGGGGAAGATAATTAATACCTTTATTTATATATTCCTTATTGGTTTCCTATCCATTTAATTTCAATTAATACAAAAACATTGATGCTACACAGTTGTTTTTGTCCTTGTACTCTTATTGTCATATAAATTACATGTTTTACCTTGTGTGTTTATTAACACTTACAATTTTTGTATCAGGTAAGCTTACTTTAGGTAATCTAAAGGGAAAAATTTACTATAAATAAATAAAAAATTAATATTGTTGCTTATATTTATTTGTTTAATTAGCTTTACTTTTTTTTTTTTTTTTGAGACAGAGTTTAGCTCTTGTTACCCAGGCTGGAGTACAATGGCGGGATCTCGGCTCTCCACAACCTCTGCCTCCTGGGTTCAAGCAATTCTCCTGCCTCAGCCTCCTGAGTAGCTGGGATTTCAGGCATGCACCACTATGCCCAGCTAATTTTTGTATTTTTAGTAGAGACGGGGTTTCATCTTGTTGACCAGGATGGTCTCGATCTCTTGACCTCGTGATCCACCCGCCTCGGCCTCCCAAAGTGCTGGGATTACAGGCGTGAGCCACCGCGCCCGGCCTTACTTGTGCTTTTTATTTGTTCATGTAGATTTCATTGACTCTCTAGTACCTTTGCTTCAGACTGATTGCCTCCCTTTGTATTTGTAACACTGCAGATCTGCTATGTGTGAAGGATAGTTTTGCAGGACAACAAATTCATAGTTGCAAAATTTTTTTCTGAATACTTTGCACATGTCATTGCAGAGCCGGCTGGCATTCAGAGAATTCACTGTCGATCTCATTGGGGATCCCTTGAACATGCAGTGTCATTTTTCTATTTCAGCTTTGAAGATTCTGTTTGACTTTGGCTGTGGTCATCTGATTTTGATAAGCCTACATTTGGATATTTTTCAGATAATTGCACTTGGGAGATCATTGAACTTTTTGATTGTGTGATTTAGTGTTTCTCTTTAAAATGAAATTTGAGAGCAAGAATATGGAGTTGGGGATATCCTACTCATCTCCTTCCAAAGAAACAAGCATTTGGCAGCCTTTCACAGAAAAAAAGCACAGTTGTGAGTGCACTGGAATTCAGGTCAGAGGTAGCAAACCTCAGGATAGCCCAAGAATGAAGACGGCTGCTTTAAATACTTATTATATTGGGTAATGACAGAAGAAAGCCACTGTACTAGAAAGGGCGTAGCCCAGACTTGCTGTAAGAGGGTGATTTATGCACCAGACCATAGGCTGACACTGATGACCAAGGACACCTGGGGCTGAGCTGTACACCCAGGGAAGCAGGTAAGTGTCAGGGAAGGGTGTGTGTGAGAACACCAAGCTGGTTGTGCCCACAGGGAGGGGGACTTGCTAATACATTGTCAGGAACATCACAAAGTGAGGTTGTACTTTTATTTCTTTTGCAATTACGTATTGAGTGTGCACAGTACTGTAGGGGCTGGGAGGGGATAAAAGAGCTGAATGGCTTTCTCTAGAATGGTGGCCTGTCTCCTGAGTAGTAACTTGCTGACCCTGCCCCTGAAGTGAAAAAGAGGGTGAAGGGCTACTTGCTCAAGCTTGTTCTCTTTTCTTACCTCTTCCCCCTCTGTGGTTTCCTCTGCCGCTGAACAGGGCCCAGGCAGCCTGCCATGAGATCGTGCTCCAAGGACCGGCCGTTCTGCTGGACCCACGGGCTCCTGGTATTCATCAGCCTGCTCCTCAGTGAGTGACGGGGTCCGTGGGGATGGAGGCCAATTGGGTCATCTGGGCTAGCTGTGCCATGACCACTAAGTGAGCTGTTGAGGTTCAAATGTCTTTGGACAACAAAAAGAGAAAAACGCTCTGTTGTGGTTAAAAATGCAGCATATTTGGTTGGAGTCCTGAGGTGGAAAGAAAAGAAAGACTTTTTGGTGGTGAGGAGGCTGGGAAACCTGAGCCAGGGCTGTCTTGGCTGCATTGAGGGAACCTTAACCATTCATTGCCTGGGCTTAAGGCTGAGCTCCAGCCAAATCACGACGGAGAGGGCCCTTGAAAGTCTCAATGTTAAAATTGTGTTAGTAATTTGCATTCGTGTTCACTTTAAAAGTTAAAAAGAACGTATCTTTGGGTAAAATGTGTCTATAGCAGGCGCCTTTCACATCCCTGTGAGTTGCTTTTTCCTCCACTCGGAAATGCTACTCAGATCCTCAGATGAAATCATGTTTATCACAGCACTGTTCTCGGAAAAATCTTGGAAACAAACACGAGGTGCCCATTAATTCAGGAACAACTGGACAAGCTGAAGAATATCTGTACCATGGCACATTATGGAAATTTTCAAAAACAAATGTTCTAGTTATCTGGAAGGAATGTTCAACTTCCATGAAGTAAAATGCATAGATTTCCATCAGCAAGATTCAGGAAACTGAATCCAATAGAATCTTCATTTTATAAAAAGAAACACAGCCACCAAAAATTAAGTGTTTTTACACCCACCTGTTTCTAAGACTATGCTAAAAATGTAGAAGAATCAGTAGATTGTCAACATGAGCTACAAGAGGGCATAACATTGTGGAGAAAAATACGAAAGAGGAAAAAGTACAGAATACAGCTTGTTAAGCAAAAAAAGATCCCGAGAAAAGGATTATCCTAATCTCGGCTGTCTGTCAGGCTGTAATCTAGGCTGTATTTAGGAATGCTCAAGCTCCGCACACAGTGAAGTGAATTTTTGTCTCTGGTCTCTGGATTACCCCTCTTTTCCCGTTGATCCTTGATTCAGGGAAAGGAATGCGTGGTGAAGCAATGCTAATGAAAATGGGGATGAGGAATTCGCCTTCATCATTCTCAAACTCTTGCCCCCTTCCTAAACATGTGTTTCAATGGGAAAATGTGGAAGGGAAATAGGGAGCCTGAGGGTGGCTCAGGTCACATCTAATTTCCCAGGGACACAGGCAGCTGCAGATGAGGGTGCTCTTCGACTTTTGGGGTCCCCCCGAACATTACAATACCAGGATTTACTAAGTGCCCAGCCCAGGTTGCAAGCATGGATCTGGGGGAGAAAGGGTCTCTGCATTAGGGGCTCCAGACAGACAGGAGACAGTGGAGACGGCACCAGGAAGTGCAGTCTGGGCATCACATATGGACTGCTGGTTTGTGAGCGTGGGGATGGGGCTGTGTCAGACAAATGAGGAATATTTTATGTTGTTTACAGAGCTTGAAATTTTATACAATTTAAATGAATGTTAAGCTCCATCTTGTAAATGACCACCCACTACCTGGCTTGCTTTTCTTTCTTCAGGATTAGCATCTCTATAGATCAGAGAGCTCCCGCTGCCTTCCTTCTTGCTCTCAGTCTTCCTTCTTGTTCCTTCTGTGCTCACCATCCACCTTCTGGGGCAGATCCTCCCTTGAAGCCTGAGGGCTGAGCCTCCTCTTATCCAGGAAATGAGGTCTGTTTGGCTTGGCTGTTTAACCCTCTGCTAGCCAGCAGTCCCTGCTCTGCTCAGCCACTGAAAGTATCTGCTTCCTCTGCTCAGGAGAAGGCATTTGTGGTTGAGACCCTGGCAGCTGTTCAGGTCCTGTTGGGCTCAGACGATAGTGCGGGTGAGCTCTTGGGAAAGCAGGTGAGGATGGAAGAACACATGGGCAGCGTCCTGCAGGGGAGGACCTGAGCTGGGAGAGGAAAGTGGGCTCCAGGTTTTCCTCTGTGTTACCCAGGACAATTCTTTCCTCTAGAGACACCCCTCCTCTGTAAAAGCAGGGGTTAGGCAGATGATTTCCAAGGCCCCTTCCAGCTGGGTAGTGTTGAGATTTAGTGACTCCTGCGGGTTTGTTAAGGTTTCTGCTCTGTCTCTTCCATCCTGTCCTGTCTTATCCTGTGGCCTGAATGGCACTGACAGCTGGTGAGCCTGTTCTGGGATCCTTCAGAGAGAAGACTCTAGGCTTTCCCTGTGGCCGCTTCCTTAGCCCTCAAGTGAGGAAAGTGTTATTCACATCCAATAGTACCAGATATTAAATGCATTTAATAAAAAGATCTTCTAGATAGGCTTTGTGTGGGCGACAAGGCCATTCTATTCTTGCAAGCGGGCCGAATCTGAGAAAGGACAGGAGAAGTGGGTAAGAGTGGGAATTTTATAGGTTGAGGAAATTTTTTCGGGGGTGGTGGTGTTGCAGAGTAAGATCAGTTACAGTGGTGGGAGGGGGTAGGGGCCAAGAATTTACATTACCGTAATTCAGTTACAATGGTGGGAGGGTAGGGGCCAAGAATTTACATTACCGTAATTCAGTTACAGTGGTGGGAGGGTAGGGGCCAAGAATTTACATTACCGTAATTCAGTTACAGTGGTGGGAGGGGGTAGGGGCCAAGAATTTACATGACCATAATTCAGTTACAATGGTGGGTGGGGTAAGATGGAAGAGTAGTTAAGATGGCAAAATGGGATTAGGAGTACTCACATTATCATAAGAACAGTTAAGATGGCGGGGTGGGGTGAGAAGCACTCAGGTTATGGTAAGAACAGTTAAGATGGCGGGGTGGGATGAGAAGTACTCAAGTGATGGTAAGAACAGTTAAGATGGGGGTGGGGTGAGAAGTACTCACATTATGGTAAGAACAGTTACGATGGGGGTGGGGTGAGAAGTACTCACGTTATGGTAAGAACAGTTAAGATGGCGGGGTGGGGTGAGAAGCACTCACGTTATGGTAAGAACAGTTAAGATGGCGGGGTGGGGTGAGAAGCACTCAGGTTATGGTAAGAACAGTTAAGATGGCGGGGTGGGGTGAGAAGCACTCACGTTATGGTAAGAACAGTTAAGATGGCGGGGTGGGGTGAGAAGCACTCAGGTTATGGTAAGAACAGTTAAGATGGCGGGGTGGGGTGAGAAGCACTCACGTTATGGTAAGAACAGTTAAGATGGCGGGGTGGGGTCAGGAGTACTCACATTATGGTAAGAACAGTTAAGGTGGCGGGGTGGGGTGAGAAGCACTCACGTTATGGTAAGAACAGTTAAGATGGCGGGGTGGGGTGAGAAGCACTCACGTTATGGTAAGAACAGTTAAGATGGCGGGGTGGGGTCAGGAGTACTCACATTATGGTAAGAACAGTTAAGGTGGCGGGGTGGGGTGAGAAGCACTCACGTTATGGTAAGAACAGTTAAGATGGCGGGGTGGGGTGAGAAGCACTCACGTTATGGTAAGAACAGTTAAGGTGGCGGGGTGGGGTGAGGAGTGCTCACGTTACGGTAAGAACAGTTAAGGTGGCGGGTTGGGGTGAGGAGTACTCACATTACGGTAAGAACAGTTAAGGTGGCGGGGTGGGGTCAGGAGTACTCACATTATGGTAAGAACAGTTAAGGTGGCGGGGTGGGGTGAGGAGTACTAACATTACGGTAAGAACAGTTAAGGTGGCGGGGTGGGGTCAGGAGTACTCACATTACGGTAAGAACAGTTAGGGTGGCGGGGTGGTGGGGTGAGGAGTACTCACATTAGGGTAAGAACAGTAAAGATGGCGGGGTGGGGTGAGGAGTACTCACATTACGGTAAGACAGTTAAGGTGGCGGGGTGGGGTCAGGAGTACTCACATTACGGTAAGAACAGTTAAGGTGGCGGGGTGGGGTGAGGAGTACTCACATTATGGTCAGAAAAGTTAAGGTGGCGGGGTGGGGTCAGGAGTACTCACATTATGGTAAGAACAGTTAAGGTGGCGGGGTGGGGTCCGGAGTACTCACATTATGGTAAGAACAGTTAAGGTGGCGGGGTGGGGTGAGGAGTACTCACATTATGGTAAGAACAGTTAAGATGGCAGGGTGGGGTGAGGAGTACTCAGATTATGGTAAGAACAGTTAAGATGGCGGGGTGGGGTGAGGAGTACTCACATTATGGTCAGAACAGTTAAGATGGCGGGGTGGGATCCAGAGTACTCGCATTATCGTAAGAAGAGTTAAGATAGCGGGGTGGGGTGAGGAGTACTCACATTATGGTATGAACAGTTAAGGTGGCGGGGTGGGGTCAGGAGTACTCACATTATGGTATGAACAGTTAAGGTGGCGGGGTGGGGTCAGGAGTACTCACATTATGGTAAGAACAGTTAAGGTGGCGGGTTGGGGTCAGGAGTACTCACATTATGGTCAGAAGAGTTAAGATGGCGGGGTGGGATCCGGAGTACTCGCATTATGGTCAGAACAGTTAAGATGGCGGGGTGGGGTGAGGAGTACTCACATTATGGTATGAACAGTTAAGGTGGCGGGGTGGGTCAGGAGTACTCACATTATGGTCAGAACAGTTAAGGTGGCGGGGTGGGGTGAGGAGTACTCACATTATGGTCAGAACAGTTAAGATGGCGGGGTGGGATCCGGAGTACTTGCATTATCGTAAGAACAGTTAAGATGGCGGGGTGGGGTGAGGAGTACTCACATTATGGTATGAACAGTTAAGGTGGCGGGTTGGGGTGAGGAGTACTCACATTATGGTAAGAACAGTTAAGGTGGTGGGGTGGGGTGAGGAGTACTCACATTATGGTAAGAACAGTTAAGGTGGCGGGGTGGGGTCAGGAGTACTCACATTATGGTAAGAACAGTTAAGATGGCGGGGTGGGATCCGGAGTACTCGCATTATGGTCAGAACAGTTAAGATGGCGGGGTGGGGTGAGGAGTACTCACATTATGGTATGAACAGTTAAGGTGGCGGGGTGGGGTCAGGAGTACTCACATTATGGTCAGAACAGTTAAGGTGGTGGGGTGGGGTG